TTTGAGAATACAGGCTCTTAAAACCAGAAGTCAATTATTTTCAACTAACAAAATAATGACAATTTCAGAATGTTCATGAATCCCATAATGCATCAATGTAAATACTGTGTCCAATATAATCCGGTGAAAGCAGATCACAATATAGAATGATAGGAATTCCATGAGGTAGTATCTTTCTGAATTATTACACGCACATTTATTTTCAGAACACACAGTAATGACTACTATATTTGTTCGCCCTACAAAGTTAATTTCTGAATACTGGTCGCAACTAGAACTGATATTGATATTGGCTTACCCTATGTAATGTGGGTTTAAGTGATGTTCCTTTGACTTGAATCAACACTGTCAAACCTGGAATAACATATAAACATATTTCATGTATAAATGTATGTAGGTAGACTCTCAAGAAGCAGTGTTACTAGTCTACAGGAATAATGACTTGTATGACTGATCTCATGCTCAGTAACAGTAATTTTCCAAACTCAAACTTGTATTCAAAAGTACAATGTATTTCTCATATTCTTGAGAGCTTCAAGTCTATTCAGTATACAATCTATTTCTCATACCCTTGAGAGCTTTGAATCTATTCAGTATACGATTTATTTCTCATACCCTTAGACATTTGAATCTATTCAGTATACAATTTATTTCTCATACCCTTAGACATTTGAATCTATTCAGTATACAATTTATTTCTCATACCCTTGAGACATTTGAATCTATTCAGTATACAATTTATTTCTCATACCCTTAGACATTTGAATCTATTCAGTATACAATTTATTTCTCATACCCTTGAGACATTTGAATCCATTCAGTATACAATTTATTTCTCATACCCTTAGACATTTGAATCTATTCAGTATACAATTTATTTCTCATACCCTTGAGACATTTGAATCTATTCAGTATACAATTTATTTCTCATACCCTTAGACATTTGAATCTATTCAGTATACAATTTATTTCTCATACCCTTGAGACATTTGAATCTATTCAGTATACAATTTATTTCTCATACCCTTAGGACATTTGAATCTATTCAGTATATGATTTATTTCTCATACCTTGAGACATTTGAAGCTATTCAGTATACAATGTATTTCTCATACCTTTGAGAGCTTCACATCTATTCAGTTTACAATGTATTTCTCATACCCTTAAGAGCTTCGAATCTATTCAGTATACAATGCATTTCTCATACCCTTGAGAGCTTCGAATCTATTCAGTATACAATGTATTTCTCATACCCTTGAGAGCCTCAAGTCTATTCAGTTTACAATGTATTTCTCATACCCTTGAGAGCTTCGAATCTATTCAGTATACAATGTATTTCTCATACCCTTGAGAGCTTCGAATCTATTCAGTATACAATTTATTTCTCATACCCTAGAAGCTGCAAGAGGTTATTTAGCAAACAATGTATTTCTCATACCCTTGAGAGCCTCAAGTCTATTCAGTTTACAATGTATTTCTCATACCCTTGAGAGCTTCGAATCTATTCAGTATACAATGTATTTCTCATAACCTAGAAAGCTTCGAATCTATTATTATACAATTTATTTCTCATACCCTTGAGAGCCTCAAGTCTATTCAGTTTACAATGTATTTCTCATACCCTTGAGAGCTTCGAATCTATTCAGTATACAATGTATTTCTCATAACCTAGAAAGCTTTGAATCTATTCATTATACAATTTATTTCTCATGCCCTTGAGAGCCTCAAGTCTATTCAGTTTACAATGTATTTCTCATACCCTTGAGAGCTTCGAATCTATTCAGTATACAATGTATTTCTCATAACCTAGAAAGCTTCGAATCTATTCATTATACAATTTATTTCTCATACCCTTGAGAGCCTCAAGTCTATTCAGTTTACAATGTATTTCTCATACCCTTGAGAGCTTTGAATCTATTCAGTATACAATTCATTTCTCATACCCTAGAAAGCTTCGAATCTATTCATTATACAATTTATTTCTCATACCCTTGAGAGCCTTAAGTCTATTCAGTTTACAATGTATTTCTCATACCCTTGAGAGCTTCGAATCTATTCAGTATACAATGTATTTCTCATACCCTTGTGAGCTTCGAATCTATTCAGTATACAATGTATTTCTCATACCCTTGAGAGCTTCGAATCTATTCAGTATACAATTTATTTCTCATACCCTTGAGAGCTTCGAATCTATTCAGTATACAATTTATTTCTCATACCCTTGAGAGCTTTGAATCTATTCAGTATACAATTTATTTCTCATACCCTTGAGAGCTTTGAATCTATTCAGTATACAATTTATTTCTCATACCCTTGAGAGCTTTGAATCTATTCAGTATACAATTTATTTCTCATACCCTTGAGAGCTTTGAATCTATTCAGTATACAATTTATTTCTCATACCCTTGAGAGCTTTGAATCTATTCAGTATACAATTTATTTCTCATACCCTTGAGAGCTTTGAATCTATTCAGTATACAATTTATTTCTCATACCCTTGAGAGCTTCGAATCTATTCAGTATACAATTTTTTTCTCATACCCTAGAAGCTGCAAGAGGTTATTTAGCAAACAATACATTTCTCGTACCTTTGAGAGCTGCAAGAGTAACTTCACTATTTGCCAACTGATATATTTTTTGCTGTCCTACTATCTGCCCTGATATTTCAAAACTAGTTTTCTTTTTCTTTTTCTTCTTTCTGCTTTCTGTAATATTTGCAACTTCAAGCTGTCAACAGAGAGCATAGCATACATAGTTAAAAAATGATGTAACAAGCCCATACCAAAAGTTTCAATAAACAGCAATGGACTTTTGAACAAAAAAAACAGCACAACATGTATTCAATCTCAAAGCTAACTTAATTGTCAGTACAGATACACGTTCGCGATATGCACATGACAAGATTCACTCCCTGCTAGTTTGAATATAGGCTTGTACTTTGGAAAACTCAAAAATATGTTTTGGTATTTATTTTTTCTCAAAGTGTATTATTGTAAGGCAAACTATTAAATCTTATTTTCTGTCTGTCTGTCTGTCTGTCTATGGCTATGCTGGTTGGAAAAAATATAAATATAAATCACAGAAAGTATATAATAATTCAACCAACATTTAAGATTAGATGACTCAATTTTCAAGTTGTGGGATACACAGAAAGTCAAATCACCTGACACCATAGAAATCTACCCATGAATGCAAGAAGTTGAGAAATAAGACTAAAACTACCTTGGTATCATCTTGATGCAGTTGAATATCTTGCAGGATGAATTCTATCAACTTGTCAGCATGGACATCAATACCGGATGCTGCACCAACAGTTGACAGCCATGTTGTTAAGACATCATAACAAAAAGACCTTAATGAGCTGACAACAAACATACATTTAACCATGGTTACTAGAAGACCATGATTTAACATTTTATTTCTATGAAAATATGATTTTTACTAATGATTTTTAGAAGAAAACCTTCCATGTTTCATTTCATTATAGCTATTATTACATAAATAATAAGATATTTAACACTACATGTATTTGAACTTTGAACTAATTTCTATACAGTGGGCGTCATAATAAAACGCTCATTTACAACCGCTATCCTACTACCTGGGTAATTTTCCTTGGAATATTCATAGCAGTGTTTGTTTTGACTTGACACTTTCAATTCGGCAACAGCCGATGCCCCCAGACACAGCAATTTTTATGATGTGTGAGGAGAGATGATTCGACAAGAAGGAAGTCATTAACAGGTTCCACTTTGTTTTATAATTTTTTATTTCCCCCCCACATTATTATGTTGAGAAGAACAATTCAATTATGGTTGTAAACACAGATAGAAACATTGTTTTAATGGTCTTGTCCACATTCAATTTACAACTATGGACTAACCCTGTTTGGCATTATTTCTCAATCACATTGTAGATGGTACTCTATAGACGGTTAATTTTGCGGTCAATATTTCTCTGTGGTGGACCACCTTCCATCAAACACAGTATTACAGTATCAACATATTGATTATTCACTGGTTTTTAATTTTGCTAAATTTAAATCCATGTGAACACATAGAATAACAATCAAACTCATTGTTTTCCTGTCAAGTATGTGAATTTAAAACCCAGTTAGATCACTCAAAACATCAAAATAGTGAAAGTAAATGCCAGTGCAAATAAATGGTTTTACAGTATATGTTGTGTAGTCAATATACCATATGTGAGCTTTGTAAAGACATCTCAGGATTACAAATTCGTGACTAATTTGTTGAGAATGTTTAACTAGAGTACAGCGAGAGCCACTCGAATTTCAAACACAGTGACTTGACAAACCCATTTTCAAATTGATTATGTGTAAATTTAGATTCTAAATAATGTAATATGGTAAAATATTAAAATCTTGAATTTTTTAATCAAGCATTTTATACTTGAACACAGTGCATTTTTATTTGATTACAAGCATACAATGTTATTTCAAATTGTAACTACCCCATCAAATATAGGACTTTCAATATGCGATATTCAAACAGTACAATGTTGTAACAAACACCACTAAACATGTTGGAAGTAATAATGCAATGTTCCGTAGTCAGTTTATATTGACTTCACTGCATACTAAAGTGCCTACAATTTATTTTTATCTGATTCCTATAAGCATTACCTATATGGGTGTTGTTGCCCATAACATGGCTGTTCTGCATTAGTCCAGCTCAATGTCTGGAGTATGGCTTTATTGATGACCAGTCCATGCACTATCAAATGACTACTGCAACTGAAATAAAGATGGGTGAAAGTATAGGGTCAATAATGAATTACACAATGATAGACAAGACAAGTTTGATTCTATTTGATTATCAATGTCATTGCGCTAAATATAAACACACTATTTCATGAAAACATATTTATAAATGTTTAAAAAAATTCAAATGACAAATGAAACAACTTGACCATTAACAACACATCAGGTGTTATCTTTTGTGTTCAGGTAGTAAAATGGCCAAAGAATTAATAAAACTGCAAACATTCATGGGGAATGGGCATTACCAAATGGTGTATATATCCAATGAAAGCGTCAGATTTGGATTTGAATGAAGGACACACGTTTTTTAGGGTGATTGTTATATAAATATTTTATAAATTACTGTAAATGCTGTTCATAAATTTGGTTAATTGCTGGTTTGTAGTTAATTTTCAACTATCTAGCGCCCTCTAGTGGTGATTATCTGGATTCCTTTGGTGGCCTCATTCTGGTATTATATGTTATCTGCCGCTCAGAATTGATTTTTTATTTGCAGTAACCATAAAGTTCAGTTCACCCGAAGTGTGTTTATATGACCTGTTAGTGCCTATTAGTCAGAAAACTGGTCCTCCATACATTTTTGAAAAGTCTCATGGTATGCTGATTAGATTTCTTTCAATGTAACTGTTTTGGTGAATTACCCCAAAACAGGTTTCAAATATCAAAACATTGTTTTGATTTGTCTGAAACCACATGTTCATGTATGCAATGTAATTTTTATTAGAAAACACACATTTGCCAGCTCAAACTCCTACAAAATAGATGTAAACACACAGATTTGCTTCTCTACCTTCAAGATTCTCAGATAAAACAGCCATATTTGAAGCTGAAAGCATTTCTACTTCTATTAGTCAAGAAAATTCCATGATGGTAGCATCAACTCATGACATCAGCATCACACCATTTTGCCAAGAAAGCTTGTATTTTAACTGTAAGAATTTCATTATTTTCACTACGAAAGTTCATTATTTTATTATGGTATAATAGCATGAGCTGCCCTTTACATTCTTATTAGTCAACCAGTACCATGTGCAGTCTTGTTATAAACATTAACAGGGTAGTGCTTGAGGTCGGTGGATAAACACACAAACAAAGTTTATGTGCGACTTGTCAACATTCAATTTTACCCCCACATCACATTTCTATAAATACCTCAGTAGTTTAAGTACCGGTAACCCTCAAATATTTGTTCAGGTGAAGAAATCCTGGTCATATTCATCTGGAAATTAACATATGTGTACATATATGTTCACATGTTGTTTGCTCTTCTACCCGCAACTTTAAATACACTAACTAAACTGTATATTTTTTTCTTTTCAATCTACCACTGCATGTACCCCCGGTATATTCAATTTTTTGACAGTCTGTGGTACTGTTCTTATAATTGAAATAAACGACTCTGCAGTGCCCATTATTTCATGATAACACGACTCAGATCAAAATGCACGCTTTCGACTTTTGTCTCACTCGCTATTGCACAAATCCCTGTCCTTGTCCTATCATCCATCACTCAATAATGAGCAGTACATGTGGCATCATTTATCCGCAATTCCCTAATAATGAATTTGAATGTTGCATGAAACAGCAAGTCTTGTATTGCCCTGGAACACCCTACAATATGGTCTATTATTCAAGTAAGTGAAAACATGCATTACACACTCTATGAATTGGTATTTCTAGTTCAGAAATGTTATATAGAATTATAAAGACAATTTACCATTTGATATGAGATTCTAATACATTGAATGCATCAATGTGTAATGAAGGAAGAAGTCCTGACAGTAACACAAACTCTGTAGTAGTTTTGTTTGCCTGTAATGAAAGAAAGATAATTAAGCTATAAATAAAAAAAAAACTTTATGAGTTGCACAAAGGTAAATCATGGAAATTTAAGGAATTTAAACAGTTTTTTTTAAGGACTATTTCTATAAAGTATTGTTACTATATTCTCAACATCTTTACTGGAAATGTATGTACTTAAATATTCAATGTCACTGGGTTTAATTTTAACACATGTTAAAGCTAAGGGATCATCACCTGTATACGCACAGGAAACAAGTCTCAGGCAACTTTAACAGCACTTGCTAAAAATACAAAGGCTCATGGTGAACGCTTATTTGTAAACATGTCTGTTGTATGCGCTGATGAAGACTAACTTGCTATCAGCAAAATAAACAAAAATAAACCCATCCTTAGCCCCTATGCAGTAAAAGACAAGAGTTTGCAGTTCAAAGGTCGGTTTAATCCATAAATACTAACTTACCAGTATTTTACAATTAATTGATAATGTTCTACATACGATAGACAAAATAGATTCTACCGGCATCTGTACAACTGACGAAAAACTCTGACTGTGGAAGATAAATAAAAAATTTCTTAGCGGTGTCCTGCTAAAGATGTTTGCAATGTCAATGTTATTTAAAACACTATAAATGAAATTAAGACACTAACCTTATCTGGTACTTGAGACACATTGTCATTATCTGAAATTGACTTGCTAGTAGAAATGTACGCTGTGGTTCAATATCTAGCACCTCTCCTAATGGTACTGATGTCTCAGGGACATTGTACATTTCTATCCCTAAAATTGCAAAAAATGTCATAATTGTCACATTCACAGAGAAAATAGGATGTTACAATGTCATGAGGTCAATCCACTAGTCACAGTTAGTCCATGAGAATCCAAAATTAATAATAATGCAGGAAAAATCAAATGAACAAAGAAGAATAACAATCATATCAAATCATAATATTAATAATAATTATGAAGAAAAATCAACACTGGTGTATAACATGAATGATTAGTTTATTATACACCACCAATTTGTATATCTCATTGTTAGAGGTCACAGGTAAAGCTGGGAATGTTATAGGTTAAACCCTATAAACGACACTGGTTAGAACTGGCACACACACTCAATTGTATCTTCATTGCATAATATCGTACATAAGTCATATACCTTCATCGGACATTTATTACTACATATGTACATTGACACTTTAGTTATGAACAAAAAACACTCGTAAGCCAACTGACCTGTTTCAATATCTTGATAAAGTTGTGATAGTATATTATGCAATGTCCCTATGATATTATTACATTGTGTGATCCATGATTCTGTGTGCTTTATTCCATTAGAACCAGCACCACCCAGTCCAGGTAATAATGCAAATACTTGACAAGAGGCCTGTCAATGAACAAATCAGTCATATCATAAATAAAGCAGCATAATGTCAATTTATGAGAAATAATGCACATCATACAACAATTTCAGATCACTCAGATCCCTAAAAAATACTGTTCCTCCTTAAATCCAAGATGGTCATCAAACTGTGAGTGACAGGTCAAAAGTCAAATGCACATTTTCATTTGCATCTTGCCAAGTTTGAAAAGATTCCATGAGCTAGTGTAAAATTTAAAAGAGGAAAAAGAGAAGAAGAATTAAAACAACAAAGCTAAATACAAACCCAATGATAACAATGTCACATGATCCCAACTGATGGTTACAGAAAAAAGAGAATATAAATTCAGATAAACAACATGGTTTATGAGAGTCAGTAGAATTATAACAAGATTCTCACAATGATTGGAAAACTTATCAAAACAAATTAGCCAATAGAAAGAACTGTTTTATGTATAATATTCCAATCACTTTGAGTGTTACATGTTGTTGGATGTCAGTTACCTTTAAGATACTAGGATGATGGGTTTCCTGAAAGATGTGTAACAGAAATTTTTCCGCTTTTGACTTGAATGGTCCACATGGCGCAGGAAAGTACTGGAAACACGATTTGAGAACTTGTACAGCTGCCAAATAATTCTGAAATTGTTAAATATAACACAAAGTTGTGGAACAATTCAGGCACTTACATCAAAATAATAACAATTTTATTTTGAGTGTTGGGTTCAATAGTTGATGAATAACTGGGTGTGCTGCAGTTTCCTTTAAAATCTTTCAAAATATATGTAAATTAAGAAAAACATTATTTTTTATTCATTCATACTGATGAAATATGATGATTAGATATCTTGGTACATACATGTATTATTTTAAAAAGGTTAAGTTACTGTCATTACTGTGTTCAGTGAGTCATTTCCAGCTTATCAGCAATGTTTTACAGAAAGCCGCAAAATGCATGAAATCAAACAAAGGTCATAGCATCGCAGTGTGTCAAATATCTTGAGGGATTTGAGAAATGTAGTATTATAATGTTTTTTAATGTGCTATAGGCATTCGATCATCAATTTTGATGAAATGAGGGAATCTTAATACAATATTCCCCTCTCAAAGATCGGCAATTCAACATTGACGCTAAAAATTCAAATTCAAATCGTTTGATTTTTATGGAAGATGTTAAGGTAGCACTTTTCACACAATACGCAAGATCTTGAAGTGAACGAAAAATCACTTATTGGCCAGTTACATAAATTAGCAAGACAACTATGAACTCACCAGTGGTTTTGAAGATATAACCCATGTAATTATATTACCGATATGACAGGATGCAATCTCTCTGGATAACTCAGACACTCCGGCAACATACTCCAGTATTTCAGACAATACTTCAGCTGCAGATTGAATGATGTCCGGTGGATCATGTGACTGAAATATATCATATTATTATGATATGTCAAGAAATGTAAAGACATTGTGAGTGTGAAGGGATAGAAAAGCAATTATTGTATCTGAAACACACACTAAAGTTTTTAACTTAAATAAAATGTACGAGTTTGCTTTACATAACTAGGATAACTAGGTCAATCCTGCTGCATATGTTGAACAATGTTCCCTTCCCAACTAGTATAATTCCAACAAAGCCAGTTCACAAAACTTTAAACACAAAGTGAGTACACTAGACACTCACCTGTAGTCCATTTAACAAGAGTCTGATCCATGTGCTACAATGCTGTGTGAAAACTGCTGTAGTACACTGAGAAACCAATGTATGTAGTAATCCTATTCCAGCTAATCTATAAAACATAACTCAACAAGCAATAACAAATAATGAACAATCCATGTGTTGTTTTCACCTGTAATCAAGTCATATATACATGTCATGCATTGTCTGTATGTCCATATCAATGCTATGTGACTGGAACTGCATAGACTGACAAAATGTGGTGATTATAATCACACATACAGAGGAACTAGCATGGATACTATAAAAACAAGCAGCCTCTCTCGGATGAGTACTGTAGTCAACAGTGGAGCTAAAAAAACTATTGAACTATTGAAATTTTAGCGTTGTTCATCTCTGAGACTTACAGACTGCGATTTTAGAATTTTAGACAAAATGGTCATCAATTTTACAAATTCGATCAAGTCACAAAACAATCATTGCAAACACAGTTCCCATTTAAACTGTTCAAATTGAACCTGGTCTTGACAATATTCAAAAAAAGTATTTACAAAGGCAAGTTGTGAAAGAGCCTACAAATATAGGTCATGCCCCAATATGTACATACTTGATACTATGTACATACACAGGATATGTCAAATGACATGAAAAAACAAAACAAAGAAAATGGTTTCAAGTGCACAGATCAAGTTCGAGTACTTTTAAAAACATTGTTTAAGGCAGTGTTCAATATCGGAAATGCAATGTCAAGGTTATATAGTCAACTTCAGCAAGGCACCAAGAAATTGATGTGCATGGAAAACAGCCATTGCCTGAACTCATGCATGGAAATGGCAGGATCTAGTTACGCAGTAATAATACTGATAATATATCTTGCAATCTTATTCAAATCAGGATATCAAACAATATAAAAAAAAAGGTAACATTCTGACAAACAAAATACTACTACTACTACTTTATTGACATTAATTCAACTTTCTATTAAATACATGTAATTTAGAATGACGCTTAATTATAATCTGCACATTTTTGGGTCTATATGCATATGAATAAAAACCTCACAGTGTGTCTGAAATATGACGATGATGATATGGTGCACACACACACACCGAACGGAACTCAGCTCAAATTATCACCTGATCATGTAAACTGGAAATCTTGACAGTCACATATGTGCATTTAGACTTGAACAAGAGAATCCCCATAATGAAGTTTCACTCTAATTCTAATGTGTCCAGAAATGTTTTTATTGGCGATACAGTACTTTTTGACATAATTGAAAGAAAGCCAAAATGATTTTTAAAACAAGCAACCAGTCGGCGGAGATAGCACCGCTGTTAGCAATGCACATTTCAATAAAAGAACAGAAGATATCATTACAAAATGAACAATATGTATAGTATCAAAGCAATGGGACTTACTGTTTTCAACAAGAATTCAAAAATATCACTTTTTACCAAAAATGACAAAAATAATCATCAAAATTAGAGAATTAAAGATATCATTACAAAATGAATAAGAGGTTCACATTTAGTAAATATATATGTAATATCAAAGCAATTGGACTTGCGGTTTTTAACAAGAAGTTGAAAATATCACTTTTTACCAAAAATGACAAAAATATTCACCAAAATTAGAGAATTAAAGATATCATTATAAAATGAACAAATCTGAGAGAGGTCTACCCAAGTAGTTTTCAAGAAGAAGTCGAAAAAGTAAAACATTGACACGGATGACAACGGACAATCACTCAAATGATAAGCTCCGCTCGACAAAGTCGACAGCGGAGCTAAAAAATGATGTGTTCGTATTCATAATTATACAGTCCTAAATCTTAATATATGACTGATATAGCAGCCTGACACATGGACTTGGAGGTTAGGATTTTATCCTGTCTGAGTAAAAAGTTACCCATCATGGAGGAGGTTATTTCAAACACTGAATGTTGTATGATCATCTGAGAAATTTTTGTTTCAGACAAGTGTAGAATAAAATATTAATTTGTTATTAATAAATCAATCAACCATCCTTCAAACTTGGTAATGCCATTTCCTTTAAAACCCCAAGTCCCCCCCCCCCCCGTGTCCTATATGATAGAGTACAATGCAACATACCCAATGTAGTACAATACATTGAATGTTTATATGTGAAACATGCCATGTATGATTACAATAGCACTTTAACAAGAAAACTCCTTTTTTCAATAGAATTAATAAGAGAAGACGAAATTCTACTAAAAAGTATACAAATTGTGTAACATGCTTGGGAAAACTGCAACCCTGAATGATGCAAATTTCGTTCAAGGTTGCATACCAAACTGTTTCCATAGAGACTGAAATAACAATGAACATCACATCGCATTGACACAATATTGTACAAAGAAATGTGAATGTTCAATTGCTTTAACCACTCTTACCTTGATTCAGATGAATGCAAAGATGTATGTATAAAACCGATGAAATCAGCAAGACTTGAAGGCTGCAATAAAATTTAATCAGAACTTACTACCAACAATAATACTGTAAAATGATTAATTTTCGCTGGGTTTAAATTTCACTGATTTAGCATTTCAGGCATATTCAGTGGGTTTTAAATTCACTGTTTTATCATTTAGATAATGTGTTTTATTACGATTTTTACATATTCACTGGGTTTTAATTTAGCGCATTTTCCAGTCAGCGAAATAAGCAAAATTAAAACCCCGTGAATAATTAACCCTTTTACAGTAACGGTTTTTGAATATTTGGTTATTACTGGTGTGTATTGGTGCATATCTTTTAATAACAAGATTTACAATTCTGAGTTATATATCTCTATAATTTATCATACAGATACAGAATTAAAAAAATTACAATGATGTGGAAATCAGCTTTAGCCAATCAAGAAGGCAACTACTTTGAACAGAATACAAGCTAGTTTGTTTGCTTTTCAGTTGTAAATACGGTATATACATTTAGATGGACAGACAGTATTTTTCATACTGTGGAATACTTGAACATACATTTTCATTTTTACTTGAAAACAAAAACACATCACAGCATTAAAAAACAAAAACTCATTGAATGATTCTCACTTTCTTATAGGGGTAGTAAGCTTGTAAATGTTCTCCAAATTTGTGTTACCTGTGTTTCTCAGACAATTTTTTTTTTACCACTTACTAATCTCACCTACATTCCCTAGACATACAATCTCTTTTTTTTTTGGTGTTTTCTCAATAAAATAAAATATTATGGGAGTGCATAAATGGCAAAAGCCAGGGTACATCGAACCATGTGACCCTTGTAAACTCCTTCTTGTGACACGGGTGATGAGTGTCACCAGTCTGGGATCAGTGTGTGATGCAATGTTTTCTAGTCTTGGCAATACACTGCCTGAATTAACACTATTTGCATGGTGTTAACACGATGTCAACAAACATGACATATTAATGTTTGATCTCTATTTGGATGACACAAATTTCTGAAGCATTAGACAATGCTTATAGAGATTGAGAATTATAACAATCAGACATGTTTTTGCACACATATAATGTACCGGTAGTTTTCAACCAAGTTAATGTTAGGCTGTAAACTCCAGTGTTAGTGAAAGACCAAATTCTATTGGTTCATGAGTTTTTGTAAGTTCACTTTTTGCATTTACGCATGTGTGCATAATAAATTAGGGAATATTCCTGTATTCCGTTAACCGTCAAGATGGCTTGTGTTATTGTTATTGTATAGTATCCTCTTCTTATTTCTCCCATCGACGCGAGTAACTTCGTGAATAATCAAGGATGACTAGCTCAACAGTTAAATGTCCATCGTCAACCAGTTGCCGAAATGTTGTACTGAAAAACAAACTCCCATATCTTGTCATTTTTAAAAAGTAAGTTCAGAAAGCTATCTGAAAAAAAATCACCCACCATATTTTTGTTACAAGTTTAGAAACAAGATTTGCAACTAGTTTAAAAAGAAAAATAGTATTCGAGCCTGGATGAAACATGGTGAATTTAGTCACATGTTTTGGTAGAATGTTGAATGGGAGAAAATAAATCCAGAACCAAATTGCTTATAGAATTTCTCTAAGACTAATGATAATAAACATTTAACAACATGAAGACAAATTCTGGTCTGAGAGGTAGTAAATGTTACAAACTTCTCTGATCATGTCCATGGTCATTAAATGGCACAAACAACCATGGTCATATATCCATGGTCAACCATGGTTGGTGACTATGGTTGTTTGTACCATTTAACAACCATGGTCAACAATGGTCACTTTCATCTGGGACTTCATGGTAGAGTATTACATAACAAAATTAACAACAAATTATTGATATATACGCTTAGGTTCGTGAGAGTAACTACAAATATGTTAAATTTGTATCAGTTTGAGTGTTCAGAAATATCACTACGACAATAAAACTGTAATGAATATTTTTTCGAATTTTTAGCAAAATTCCATGACAAATACAACAAGAACTTCATGGTCAGCAGGTACCATAATCTATTTCCCCAAATGTTAAACAATTGATACTTAAGGAATATATATATATTTCTTTATTTCATTGCTGAGAATGAGCTGTATATTTGTTTTGTACTATAATTTCTTATCTATATAGAAAACTGTTCTGCGGATTATTAATTTCAATAAATATATTCAACTGTCTTTCTGCAACACCAATAAGATCATTACTTGTAGTATGTCACTAAGATATACTAGTATAAAAAGAATGCATGATGCAAAACCCATTCTATAAATTGTCAAATGTTTCTTACGAATGGTACCCGCGGTATTCCCAGATTAATACCAGTTGTTCAACTCCGATGAAAGGACCAGTTACGGCGTCAAAGCTCTACTCACTATGAGAACCATAGCCCCGAGTACAGTCCTGTAGGTTGGCCTTCTTCCGTTGATCATTCGGCTCCACAGTCCTAAGAAGTTTCATAAACCGAGGATTCGACACCCGCCTACAAATTTATGGCAGAGAACAGTTCTGCAGTTTTCATGATTGTAACTAGCTAAAACATCTATCGACCAATCTAACGATCATAAATTTGTGGCCGAAAAATGAACCTACAATAGTGGAACGTTTGCGAAAGCTAGTTTTACACAACAAAACAATGTTTTGTAAATAAATATGTCAAGAACAAGATGGCGGCGTATATTTTCGGTTGACGTTGGAAAATGTTGATTCGATCGTCCCTAGTGGGAAATCTTGTGTAATTTCGCTTCCAGTTAAGGTGCTGCATTTAGAATAGTTTGACGTTTGACTTTTCAAACAAGATTTAAAAATTGAAAATTACCTAATTAATATGCAGAACCATGGTCTTAGAAGGTTAATTGCAAAATTCAGGACAAGCAACCATGACCTTAAAATTGAGAAAGGCAGACATAATAATGTGCCGCTGGATAAAAGAACATGTGATATGTGCAGCCAAAATATAGTTGAGGATGAGCAACATTTTGTAATGAAATGTCCAGCTTACAGTCACCATAGGGACAAATTATTCCTGACTGCACAAAATAAAATTCCAAATTTTGATAAAGAAAATAGTCAGAATAAATTCATTTTGATTATGGCAAACCATACTCTAGCACCAGCCTTAGCTGTCTTCTTAAAAAACAGCTATGGAACAAAACAGCAACAACTATCAGTGTATTAGGCCACATTTTGTGTTCATTTTATATTCTGTATTCACCATTGGCTGCAAATTGTCTTTTTTTGTTTTTGACTTTGTTTGTTTTTTTTAGAAAAGTTTTTCTTTTTTTGTTTTCTTTTTTAGATTGTAGTTTTTTTTTTAATTTCTTTCTGTAAGACCCTTTTTATCCTTTCCTAAGGATTTTATGCGTCTAATAAAAAAATAAAATAAAAAAATATCGACTTGCTTATTTTTTAACTGCAAAGCTGAATGCCTCTTAAATCGCTTGATACATTCCTTCACAATAGTGTCGAATTCCTGGTCTATGCGACTTCTCAGGACTGTGGGGGTCGAATGATCAGCGGAAGAAGGCAAACCTACAGGACTGTACTCGGGGCTATGAGAACTACACACTGAAAAGCTACTAGTAAGCAAGTATTATTTGGCTTTATAGTTTATTGAGACAAATAATCAACTGCAGAGCATATAACATGACAACTTCAAAAATAACCATACGTGTTCATGCTACATTGATACGACGTATGGCTGATCCTTAAGTTGATCCCCTTCCATTTTAACGCAGCTACATGTATTTCACAGGAGCCGCTTATTGGAAGCGCCCTCTACATCACAACTAGCATACATTCACATTTCTCATCGACGAAAAATATGTGCAAAGTACATAGTATATGATTGGAAAACAACTTACTTGTGTTCTCAGTGTCTGGTGAGCATCAAAAATTGCGACAGTGTGTGCTATTGGTCTTTTGGAAGACGCTGTGTCATTCAAATCTGACAACAGCGTGGACAACATGCGTTTACTGGACGCAGCCATCTTGTAAGGGGCGAACCATTTGATACCGGGAGAGGCGGGAATTACTTTCAAAATACCTGACAGCTAGCTAGTAATGTAGTACTATATCAAGTTTTCTAATTGTTACCCTCTAATATTGGGCAATGAATATTTTGCCAATGTGAGTGGGCAGAATTAGATTATACAGACTTATTCTAATTGGTTCAGGCAATGACTGAAACAATCGTGATGAAAGTGCGCCCTCATGGCCAACTTGAAGAGAATCAGAAAAATATTATTTTTAATATTTAGTACAGTTAAACCGAACCCAAAAAAATATTTACAGTCACAATAGACACAATTAAACAATCGAAAAATATATATATATATAAATAACTTGATAACGAACAGTAAAACAAAAACTAGCCATAAAAATATAATAAATACAATTTGAAAACAAAAAAACAAAAAAATGACATTGGATTTCAATCAGATCGGCTATTCATCTAACTATTTTAAGTTAAATTTAGTGTGACGTCATTCCTTTATCCTTCCTACAGTTTTTAGATGTTCAATGTACTCTTCAGTAGTCACGTGAACAATACACCAATCAATCAAACTGAACGCCATCCATTAAGACAAACAGAACGCACAGCTCAAACAATAAAATCATTGAACGATGAGGTACTCCTTGACCTGGCTTCTTGATGAAAGTGACCAGAACACATTGACGATTGTACTGATACAATGCCAGTGTATTACATGTACGGCCACAAATCAGACTCTAAAAACGGGCTTGTCCGATGAATCAATTTAATGTCTCATTTTGATAGAAATTAACCATGACGACTGTGATTCACAAAACACTTCCTCGGCACTAATTTAAACAACATGTGTGTACACATATTCGTATCAGCTCCTATTCCTTCTGTGAATACAACTGATTAGCTTGAAAATTATCATTCTTAGACAGTAAGCCACATATAAACAACATATAATTAAATGTGGACAAGTATTGATTAAAATCAGTGCGTCGTATAACAAAGGTCTTCATCTTGAAAATTTGCCTGTCAACTGCATACTTTATGCAGATGACCTGGTCCTTCTCTCTAGAACAAAGCATGGACTACAATCATGTCTGGATAACTTGTCAGAATATGTTAATAAATGGCAATTAACTGTAACCCCCCCAAAAAAGTATCAGTTTTTAACAAATCAAACAGATGTCTAAACAGTGACACTTTCTTTCTAGGGGGCAGTGACATTGTGACAGTCAAAACATTTAATTATATTGGCTTAATAATCATTGCAAGTGAACAATTTAAGGAAGCTCTAAAGCACCTTAAGAGAAAAGCTTAAAAAGCACTGTTTTCTCTCAAAACTAAATTAGGCGCAATACACAATTTGTCCATCACCTTGTCACTATCGCTTTTTGACAAACTAATACGACCGATACTTATTTATGGTAGTGATGTACGGGGTGACGAGTTCTCGTCCAAATCACCAGTTGAGGACATTAATGTTCAATACTGTCAATATCTCCTTCGACGGAGTTTCCCAAAGAACCCCAATTATGGGAATTTACAGCGAGTTAGGGAGATACCCTTTGGATATATTTATTAAAAGTCAATTAATAAAATATTACAACCGCATTAAGAATACGAAAATGTTTTCTTTAAAGAAGCTTTTTCAGTTAATAAAAGCCTAAAAACTAAGTTGTATTTGGAAATTACAGATTGCTGAAGAATATTAAAAACTGTTTGATGAGTGTGCAATAAATATTTACACACTGGATGTGAATTCCATATTTAAAAAGATTATGGAGAATAATATAGCCTTAGCAAAATACTTAAAGAGCACAATTTTTAAAACCACAGAAAGTAATTAATTTTATTTTATCTCTTTTTTATTGTTTGTTTTTTGTATTTCTTTGTATTTATGTTCCTTATCATACAAAAACCATCTGAAGGTTTTTAGTAGTGTAATAAAGTTATTACTTAATTAATAAAAGTAATAAATTAACTTCAACAGACATAAATAACACCAGGTCCAACCTCAAACATAAATTTACATCCCATTGGAAAGAAAAAAATTCACAGTTATATTCGTAAAAAGTCTGAAGGAAAAAACAAACTCGGAACTTACAGAACATTTAAATGCAATATCAGTATGGAACCATATATCATCAATAACAAAAACATTGATTTGAGAACTAGTCTGGCTAAGTTCCGTCTGAGTGACCATGCCCTCAAGATTGAGACTGGCAGACACAACTGTACTCCACTCAATAACAGGGTTTGTGACATGTGTAACCAAGGTACCATTGAAAATGAATTTCATTTTATGGTGGAGTGTCCCAAATACAGTAATAGACGCAGTGTTCTGTTTGATACAGCTGCTGATGTGATTGACTCCTTTCACAACCTGCCTCCTGAAGAACAGTTCACTGCACTGTTAAATAATGATAGTACATGTATTGTCATCTAGGTAGCACAGTATATCAACAAGTGCTTTGAAATTAGACAACAAATTTGGGATTAATATACATCTTTCTTTTAGAAGGAGTTGTTTTATTATTTTTCTCCATTAATATTCTGTTTTTGTAGATTAGTTTATTTTTTATTACTTCCTTATTAGTATACGTTTACTATTATCTGTAACCCACTCCATCCGGGGAGTGAGTAAGTGTTAATAAATGAATAAAAATAAATCAATCATATGTCTTCAATTGAAATGTGGGGGAAATCTATACAGAAAGGACAGAAAGCTGTGGAGGTTATAAACGTGTTATAAATATACAAGTTTCAGACCAATAATCATCTGGTAGTGATAGAAGTAATATGAAATCAAACATTGCGGAAGTATATTTCAGTTTCGGTCGATACATACTATATGTATCAAAGCACACATCCAAATTAGCTATTTGTAGCGAACCGAGTAGATATTCGAGGGTTCAAGGTTCAATCCGAGAAAAATCATAACATTTACGATCCTGTTAACATGGAAGGTACTTACCTTCCATGATGTAAATGCAGTGATAGGTCAAAGTCACATGTAAACGCAGTGATGGGTCAAAGTCACCTGTAAACGCAGTGATGGGTCAAAGTCACCTGTAAACGCAGTGATGGGTCAAAGTCACCTGTAAACGCAGTGATGGGTCAAAGTCACCTGTAAACGCAGTGATGGGTCAAAGTCACCTGTAAACGCAGTGATGGGTCGAAGTCACCTGTAAACGCAGTGATGGGTCGAAGTCACCTGTAAACGCAGTAATAGATCAAAGTCATCTGTAAACGCAGTGATGGGTCGAAGTCACCTGTAAACGCAGTGATGGGTCGAAGTCACCTGTAAACGCAGTGATGGGTCAAAGTCACCTGTAAACGCAGTGATGGGTCGAAGTCACCTGTAAACGCAGTGATGGGTCGAAGTCACCTGTAAACGCAGTGATGGGTCGAAGTCACCTGTAAACGCAGTGACGGGTCAAAGTCACCTGTAAACGCAGTGATGG